CTGCGGGTCCATGACAGAGTGAGTTTGGAGGACAGGGTTTTTTTTCGGGAGCCCAAAACAGCGGCTCTACTAGAGATTGCTCGACCCGGAGCTGCTGAACCCTAAACCCTAAACCCTAAACCCTAAACCCTGAACCCTAAACCCTAAACCCTAAACCCTAAACCCTAAACCCTAAACCCTAAACCCTAAACCCTAAACCCTAAACCCTAAACCCTAACTCAACGGCCGCCCCTCCTAGAAATAGCACCTCCCCTAAGGCCCGGCCAAAGGCTGGCCTTGCGCTGCTTGTCCGTCTTCCACTGCCACCAAGTCTTCGATACAGCCCAATCTCAGCCCCACGCAGCTCTTGAGGGACCGACACCCTCCCTTTCATGTCTCCCATTCCCACTCCAGATAGAATAGAATCCCCTTGAAAGGGACCCAACAGGGTACCCCTATTTTTGGAAACCGCCATCCGAGCATCTCCTCATGTCTCATTGCGTTGGGCCGATGTGCCCATCACCACAAGACGCTGATGACGAGATGCCATGCAAAGCAACTTTCAGCAGTAGTCCCCCGAAGGCCCTCCTCAATCTCTCAAACCTCATAAACCTACAGTTGCATTACAACGCCCATATATCTGCAAGCACGGTCACATGAAGCATCTTGAAGCCCTGTATGCACGCTCAAGCCTTTTGCAACCCCAAATCACCCAAAACCCGCCACCCAGAGCAGCACATTTCATGCCTTTCTCGCTCCTCCTGGATAGTCTCAATCTGCAGAGGTCGAGACCTCATAGGCTGTGCTTATGAACATAGTAATGAATAACAAAATGATTAGGCTAGGCTAGATAATGAGGCTTGTGGGGCTTGGGGGGCGGGTTTTCTGTGCGAATAGTACAGCGAACATCTGGGATTAGCCTTGTTGTTGAGATGGCAAGGCATTCGAGGTGGCTTGCAAGGTTGACAAGCTTGGAGGTTGGGTTTGGGCTTAGTTCTTTGGGCCAAAAACTTTGAGGGTAGCTGAAGAAGATGGCAGGGCAACCACTCCACATGAACTACAATCGCCTTACAACAGAGGCCTGAATGCGTTCGGCTCATCTTCGGCCTGCTGGGGGGGCCGAGGAACCCGAGCGGGCCCGTCCGCCTTCTCGCCTGGCCATGCTACGAACAAGAAAGGGATGCGGTACATAGTGTAACATGGCACAGCAACCTAGACTCCGTCTATATAACCTATGAAAGTACTATATACAGTATAACCTGGTCCATGCTTTGCTATATAGCATCTGGTACTTTAAGGCCCCAGGCCCTGAGGTTTGGCTTAAAGGCTCTTCGGAATGAAGCTAAGGGTTTGAAGTGCTTGTAGGGTTCAGGGTGGCCATCAGTAGGACTCTTCCCTGACGTCCTACCCAAGACTGCAGCGATCCCCTTTTGTTCCACGACAGCGTCTTTTGTCTCAGGCAGCATACGCAAGGTGTTCGCAAGGCAACACGTGCAAGAGTCATGAATTTGAATTGTAATGTGGAGGCTACGAGCGGCTTCGTCGAAGTCGGCTCAAGTGCTCTTCTGGCACGCCGTAATGAGATCGAAGAGCCGGCCAGGCACCTTCCGGCAGCCCCTCCCAAGCTGCGGCAACAATTTCACCGCAGCCCACAAAATTGACGTCCTGGCAGCTGCGGAGGAAAAGCACGACAGGCACCAGTTCCCCATTATACCATGCTTCTCCCCCGCCCGGTCCTCAAGTTGACGACAACCACCCAGGACCGAGAGCAGCACGGCGGAGCACTCGCCGCTTTCGCAGAAACACCTGGGCCGGCCACCGGAGCGGCCCACCCGAACCCCCATTCCCCACGCCTTCCCCTCCATCAGCTTCGACTTCCAGAGCAACTCTTTCTGAACACCCGCTTGCCCGAGGCGCTCTCGAAAGCTCGCCTTGGTGAGCTTCTTCCACTCGGCCTGGGCGAGCAGCTGCCAGGCGGCTCCGGGAATCTTCATGCATCCGTCCATGTTCAGGTCCTGGCCGGCGTGGGGTCTTTCAAAAGCTCTCGGGGGGGAACGGGTCGCGGGAGGCCTGCGCAGGTGCTCAGAGGTCTATGAAAAACAACTGGAGGGGCCTGAGCCTTGGAGCGGGGCCCTATGAGAGCGGTACATGCCATCCCTCGCTGTGCCATGTTGCTTCTGACGCTTATATTCTCACTTGTCCTAACTCCATTTCTTTAAACAAGTTTAACACTGGATCGGCTAGCTTGTTGCAACTTCCAGAACCGTTTACGACTTCTAGACTTCTAGAAGACCCGACAAGATTCCGGGCTAGCACTTCGTGGGGGGAGACACGTGGGGAATGCCGTTCTCCTAGCCGCATGTGCTTAGAGCAATCTTGCGAACTCGGCCGAGTCCTCAAGTTGACGACAACCGCCCAGGACCGAGAGCAGCGCGGCGGCGCCCTCGCCGCTTTCCTCGAAACACCTGAGCCGGCCACCGGAGCGGCCCACCCGAACCCCCATTCCCCACGCCTTCCCCTCCATCAGCTTCGACTTCCAGAGCAACTCTTTCTGAACACCCGCTTGCCCGAGGCGCTCTCGAAAGCTCGCCTTGGTGAGCTTCTTCCACTCGGCCTGGGCGAGCAGCTGCCAGGCAGCTCCAGGGATCTTCGTGCATCTGACCATGTTCAGCTCCTGGCCGGCGTGGGGTCTTTCAAAAGCTCTCGGGGGGGAACGGGTCGCGAAGGGCCTGCGCAGGTGCTCAGAGGTCTATGAAAAACAACTGGAGGGGCCTGAGCCTTGGGGCGGGGCCCTATGAGAGCGATACATGCCATCACTCGCTGTGCCATGTCATGCTTCTGACGCTTATATTCTCACTTGTCCTAACTCCATTTCTTTAAAGAAATTTAACACTAGAACGGCTAGCTTGTTGCAACTTCCAGAACCTTTTACGACTTCTAGACTTCTAGAAGACCCGACAAGATTCCGGGCTAGCACTTCGTGGGGGGAGACACCTGGGGAACGCCGTTCTCCTAGCCAGATGTGCTTAGAGCAATCTTGCGAACTCGGCCGAGTCCTGAAGTTGGTGGCAACCGCCCAGGACCGAGAGCAGCACGGCGGAGCCCTCGCCGCTTTCGCAGAAACACCTGGGCCGGCCACCGGAGCGGCCCACCCGAACCCCCATTCCCCACGCCTTCCCCTCCATCAGCTTCGACTTCCAGAGCAACTCTTTCTAAACGTCCCCCTTGTCCGAGGCGCGCAACAAAAGTCGCCTTGGTGAGCTTCTCCCACTGGGCCTGGGCGAGCAGCTGCCAGGCAGCTCCAGGGATCTTCTGGCAATAGCCCATGTTCAGGTCCTGGCCGGCGTGGGGTCTTTCAAAAGCTCTCGGGGGGGAACGGGTCGCGAAGGGCCTGCGCAGGTGCTCAGAGGTCTATGAAAAACAACTGGAGGGGCCTGAGCCTTGGAGCGGGGCCCTATGAGAGCGGTACATGCCATCACTCGCTGTGCCATGTTGCTTCTGACGCTTATATTCTCACTTGTCCTAACTCCATTTCTTTAAACAAGTTTAACACTAGATCGGCTAGCTTGTTGCAACTTCCAGAACCGTTTACGACTTCTAGAATTCTAGAAGACCCGACAAGATTCCGGGCTAGCACTTCGTGGGGGGAGACACCTGGGGAACGCCGTTCTCCTAGCCAGATGTGCTTAGAGCAATCTTGCGAACTCGACCGAGTCCTCAAGTTGGCGACAACCGCCCAGGACCGAGAGCAGCGCGGCGGCGCCCTCGCCGCTTTCTTTGAAACACCTGGGCCGGCCACCGGAGCGGCCCACCCGAACCCCCATTCCCCACGCCTTCCCCTCCATCAGCTTCGACTTCCAGAGCAACTCTTTCTGAACACCCGCTTGCCCGAGGCGCTCTCGAAAGCTCGCCTTGGTGAGCTTCTTCCACTCGGCCTGGGCGAGCAGCTGCCAGGCGGCTCCGGGAATCTTCTTGCACCAGTCCATGTCCAGCTCCTGGCCGGCGTGGGGTCTTTCAAAAGCTCTCGGGGGGGAACGGGTCGCGAAGGGCCTGCGCAGGTGCTCAGAGGTCTATGAAAAACAACTGGAGGGGCCTGAGCCTTGGAGCGGGGCCCTATGAGAGCGGTACATGCCATCACTCGCTGTGCCATGTTGCTTCTGACGCTTATATTCTCACTTGTCCTAACTCCATTTCTTTAAACAAGTTTAACACTAGATCGGCTAGCTTGTTGCAACTTCCAGAACCTTTTACGACTTCTAGACTTCTAGAAGACCCGACAAGATTCCGGGCTAGCACTTCGTGGGGGGAGACACCTGGGGAATGCCGTTCTCCTAGCCAGATGTGCTTAGAGCAATCTTGCGAACTCGGCCGAGTCCTCAAGTTGGTGGCAACCGCCCAGGACCGAGAGCAGCGCGGCGGAGCCCTCGCCGCTTTCTTTGAAACACCTGGGCCGGTCACCGGAGCTGCCCACCCCCATTCCCCACGCCTTCCCCTCCATCAGCTTCGACTTCCAGAGCAACTCTTTCTGAACACCCCCTTGTCCGAGGCGCGCAACAAAAGTCGCCTTGGTGAGCTTCTCCCACTCGGCCTGGGCGAGCAGCTGCCAGGCGGCTCCGGGGATCTTCTGGCAATAGTCCATCTTCAGCTTCTGGCCGGCGGGTTTTATCGAGTCTTTCCAAACGCTCTGGGGGGGGGAACGGGTCGCGAAAGGCCTGCGCAGGTGCTCAGAGGTCTATGAAAAACAACTGGAGGGGCCTGAGCCTTGGAGCGGGGCCCTATGAGAGCGATACATGCCATCACTCGCTGTGCCATGTTGCTTCTGACGCTTATATTCTCACTTGTCCTAACTCCATTTCTTTAAACAAGTTTAACACTAGATCGGCTAGCTTGTTGCAACTTCCAGAACCGTTTACGACTTCTAGAATTCTAGAAGACCCGACAAGATTCCGGGCTAGCACTTCGTGGGGGGAGACACCTGGGGAACGCCGTTCTCCTAGCCAGATGTGCTTAGAGCAATCTTGCGAACTCGGCCGAGTCCTGAAGTTGGTGGCAACCGCCCAGGACCGAGAGCAGCGCGGCGGAGCCCTCGCCGCTTTCTTTGAAACACCTGGGCCGGTCACCGGAGCTGCCCACCCCCATTCCCCACGCCTTCCCCTCCATCAGCTTCGACTTCCAGAGCAACTCTTTCTGAACACCCGCTTGCCCGAGGCGCTCTCGAAAGCTCGCCTTGGTGAGCTTCTTCCACTCGGCCTGGGCGAGCAGCTGCCAGGCGGCTCCGGGAATCTTCATGCATCCGTCCATGTTCAGGTCCTGGCCGGCGTGGGGTCTTTCAAAAGCTCTCGGGGGGGAACGGGTCGCGGGAGGCCTGCGCAGGTGCTCAGAGGTCTATGAAAAACAACTGGAGGGGCCTGAGCCTTGGAGCGGGGCCCTATGAGAGCGGTACATGCCATCCCTCGCTGTGCCATGTTGCTTCTGACGCTTATATTCTCACTTGTCCTAACTCCATTTCTTTAAACAAGTTTAACACTGGATCGGCTAGCTTGTTGCAACTTCCAGAACCGTTTACGACTTCTAGACTTCTAGAAGACCCGACAAGATTCCGGGCTAGCACTTCGTGGGGGGGGAGACACGTTCCTAGCCGCATGTGCTTAGAGCAATCTTGCGAACTCGGCCGAGTCCTCAAGTTGACGACAACCGCCCAGGACCGAGAGCAGCGCGGCGGCGCCCTCGCCGCTTTCTTTGAAACACCTGGGCCGGCCACCGGAGCGGCCCACCCGAACCCCCATTCCCCACGCCTTCCCCTCCATCAGCTTCGACTTCCAGAGCAACTCTTTCTGAACACCCGCTTGCCCGAGGCGCTCTCGAAAGCTCGCCTTGGTGAGCTTCTTCCACTCGGCCTGGGCGAGCAGCTGCCAGGCAGCTCCAGGGATCTTCGTGCATCTGACCATGTTCAGCTCCTGGCCGGCGTGGGGTCTTTCAAAAGCTCTCGGGGGGGAAAGGGTCGCGAAGGGCCTGCGCAGGTGCTCAGAGGTCTATGAAAAACAACTGGAGGGGCCTGAGCCTTGGAGCGGGGCCCTATGAGAGCGATACATGCCATCACTCGCTGTGCCATGTCATGCTTCTGACGCTTATATTCTCACTTGTCCTAACTCCGTTTCTTGAATATACACAAGTTGAAAACTTATCGGCTAGCTTGTTGCAACTTCCAGTTCCGGGCTAAGCTCACACTTCGTGGGGAAACACGTGGGGAATGCCATTCTCCTAGCCGCATGTGCTTAGAGCAATCTTGCGAACTCGGCCGAGTCCTCAAGTTGACGACAACCGCCCAGGACCGAGAGCAACGCGGCGGCGCCCTCGCCGCTTTCCTCGAAACACCTGAGCCGACCCCCATTCCCCACGCCTTCCCCTCCATCAGCTTCGACTTCCAGAGCAACTCTTTCTAGACGTCCCCGTTTTCCGAGGCGCCACCGAAAGCTCGCCTTGGTGAGCTTCTCCCACTGGGCCTGGGCGAGCAGCTGCCAGGCGGCTCCGGGGACCTTCTTGCATCCGTCCATGTTCAGGTCCTGGCCGGCGGCTTTGTGGGGTCCAAGACTAAGACCTGGAGAAGTAAACTGGTGTGGGCCAGGATCAGGTCCACGAAGCCTCCCCTTGAAGTCCTTCCACAACTTCTGCCAACTCCTGGCAGACAAAACCTCCACCTCCCTCCCTCCCTGCCTCCCTCCCTCCCTGCCTCCCTCCCTCCCTTCCCTCCCTCCCTCCCTCCCTCTCTCCCTCCCTCCCTCCCTCCCTCTCTCCCTCTCTCTCATCTCTCTCTCGCTCTCTCTCTGCGCTTGAACCTTGCATCGGTGTACACCGGTGCGCAGACTCGAACGGCGCAACAAAGAAAACTGCGAATGCATGCGTTTAAGCCCGGCTGGGTCTGAAATGGGCTGTGCAAAATTGTGCGACGTGGGGTTCTGAAACACATACTTCTGAGATCACCCCCCCCCCCCCTCCGCCCGCATTTTAGGCGTGCAAACCCCCATCCTAGACCCTCACAAACTGAGGATTCCAACAGTGTATGGTGACGTCACTGCAGCTGTGTTTGTGGAGATATTTTTCTGCCAAAGAGGGCATAGTCCTACCTGAACACAACTTACTCTCCCTTGCCACAGCCAGCAAAAGGAACAGTAAAACAAGGAATGGGGCACGGGGGTATGTGAGGGAGGTGTCCGGCTTGTCCCTAATGCTCAAGTGAAGAAATTTGGCAAGGCCAACTCCCCTCACAAGCTTTCTTAATAAAGCGAAAACATATTGCTGGAAAGATTGACGTTGGTTTGCCCGCAATTTTCCTTGATTAATAGGAGCCCTCCCTTCGACTGGGTTCCAGCTTCATCTAGGCTTAGGGTTCCCTGGAGCTTTTGTAGCGGGCGTCCTCTAAGTCGCATTGGCCCAGTGCTGCAAACAGCTCGGCATCGCTCTGTGCTTCCAGCGGTGCTGAAGGCATGATCACTGAGGTCACCATCTTTGGTGACATCCGAAGCCCGGCCGAAGTTCCGATCTCTGTTTGGCCCGTCTCGCCTGCGTAAACCGCAAGGGGCGCATACAGTCATATAGCTACAGAAAAAAACTTTGAACCCCGAAAACCCAACTTTCTGAGAAACTGCAAGAGCCCCCGGCTTCACGCTGCTGCTTTGCTACAGCCCGTGGCTTGGCTACAGGCGCATCGGTGCGGAGCTACTGCCGGAGAAGATGCCACCAACCCATCTCATCACAACCCCCTACGCATGAGCAAGTTTCAGCACATGGTGCACTCGTGACTGCACAGAAGAAGCTTTCGGTCCACGCCTTGAGAGGCTGGCAGAGGTCCGCGAAGCTTGTCCAGGTGCTCTTCTGGCACGCCCACATGCGATCGAAGAGCCGGCCAGGCGCCTCTTGGCAGCTCCCAGGCTGCGGCAGCAATCTCTTTGCAACCGTGGAAATCGACAACCTGGCAGCAGCGGGGAAAGCACCCCAGGGGCACCAGTTGATGCCCCTACACGATCCCTCACCCGGTCCTCAAGTTGATGACAACGGCCCAGCACCGAGAGCAGCGCTGCAGCACCCTCACCACTTTCGTAGAAACACCTCGGCCGGCCACCGGAGCTGCCCACCGAACTCCCCTTCCCTTCCCCTCCATCAGCTTCGACTTCCAGAGCAACTCTTTCTAGACGTCCCCGTTTTCCGAGGCGCCACCGAAAGCTCGCCTTGGTGAGCTTCTCCCACTGGGCCTGGGCGAGCAGCTGCCAGGCGGCTCCGGGGACCTTCCTCCATCCGTCCATGTTCAGGTCCTGGCGGGCTCGGAGGCAACTTTGCTTTCGGCCCCCTGCGGGCCTTTCAAGCAAAAGCTCTGGGGGAACGGGTTCCGGAGGCTAGCACAGGCGCACAAGGAGGTATACTTGCTGCGCCATTTTGCGTCTGACACTTGTATTTCTCACTTATCCTAACTCCACTCCTTTGTGAAAACCTTTCTTGCTTAGCTTGCTGTAACTTCCATAACCCCACACGACTTCTAAAAGCAGCGGCAACATCCCGGCTTGCCTTGCACTTCGTAGTCAGAAGACCCCGCCCGCGACAAGCCACTCAAAGCTAGGGCCCTTGGGGCCCCAGTGGGGAGACACACTTCGGGAATGACGTACCCCTGCAGTACCCCGATGTGTCTGACCTTGCCAACTCGGTCGTGTCCTGAAGCAGATGACAACGGCCCAGGACCGAGAGCAGCGCTGCAGCGCCCTCACCGCTTTCATCGAAACACCTGGGCCGGCCACCGGAGCTGCCCACAGAACTCCCCTTCCCTTCCCCTCCATCACCCCACCCTTCCCCTCCATCATCTGCGCAGACTGCTCATACCACATTCTCTCCGCTTTGTTTCCCCTCTACTTGAAATTATGAAAGCGGGGCCACTACAGTGATGCGGGTCGTATTGTATCTGTTGGTCAGTAAATGTGGGGTGTTTACGGTTTAGACGTAAGCCTCCCCACGTTCCACGTTCTTGTCCGCTATAAGGTTAAACAAGTTCGCAGCCAAGTGAGTTTCAGGGGCTGCTCTGGGTATCTAGCGGGCTTAGGAGGACCCTGTCCTGACCCACCAAATGTCATGAGGGGGGAGGGGAGCGGAGAATCCCAAAGTTCTGGCAGCTTGAGCTTCACGTCATGTTCCACTGCCAGTCTTGGGCATGTGGCCGGTCCTCTAAATGTTTGTCATATTTTTTGGCCCAGGTAAGCGCCCTCTGTCCGAGGCGCGCAATAAAGCTCGCCTTGGTGAGCTTCTCCCACTGGGCCTGGGCGAGCAGCTGCCAGGCGGCTCCGGGGATCTTCCTCCATCCGTCCATGTTCAGGTCCTGGCGGGCTCGGAGGCAACTTTGCTTTCGGCCCCCTGCGGGCCTTTCAAGCAAAAGCTCTGGGGGAACGGGTTCCGGAGGCTAGCACAGGCGCACAATGAGGTATACTTGCTGCGCCATTTTGCGTCTGACACTTGTATTTCTCACTTATCCTAACTCCACTCCTTTGTGAAAACCTTTCTTGCTTAGCTTGCTGTAACTTCCATAACCCCACACGACTTCTAAAAGCAGCGGCAACATCCCGGCTTGCCTTGCACTTCGTAGTCAGAAGACCCCGCCCGCGACAAGCCACTCAAAGCTAGGGCCCTTGGGGCCCCAGTGGGGAGACACACTTCGGGAATGACGTACTCCTACAGTGTACCTACAGTACCCCGATGTGTCTGACCTTTGCCAACTCGGTCGTGTCCTGAAGCTGATGACCACGCCCCAGGACCGAGAGCAGCGCTGCAGCGCCCTCACCGCTTTCGCGGAAACACCTGGGCCGGCCACCGGAGCTGCCCACAGAACTCCCCTTCCCTTCCCCTCCATCACCCCACCCTTCCCCTCCATCATCTGCGCAGACTGCTCATACCACATTCTCTCCGCTTTGTTTCCCCTCTACTTGAAATTATGAAAGCGGGGCCACTACAGTGATGCGGGTCGTATTGTATCTGTTGGTCAGTAAATGTGGGGTGTTTAGGGTTTAGACGTAAGCCTCCCCACGTTCCACGTTCTTGTCCGCTATAAGGTTAAACAAGTTCGCAGCCAAGTGAGTTTCAGGGGCTGCTCTGGGGATCTAGCGGGCTTAGGAGGACCCTGTCCTGACCCACCAAATGTCATGAGGGGGGAGGGGAGCGGAGAATCCCAAAGTTCTGGCAGCTTGAGCTTCACGTCATGTTCCACTGCCAGTCTTGAGCATGTGGCCGGTCCTCTAAATGTTTGTCATATTTTTTGGCCCAGGCAAGCGCCCCTTCTCCGAGGCGCCCAGCAAAGCTCGCCTTGGTGAGCTTCTCCCACTGGGCCTGGGCGAGCAGCTGCCAGGCGGCTCCGGGGATCTTGTGGCAATGGTCCATGTTCAGCTCCTGGCCGGCGTGGGGTCTTTCAAAAGCTCTCGGGGGGGAACGGGTCCCTGTCTTTCAGAAGCTGTCGGGGGGGAACGGGTCGCGAGAGGCCTGCGCAGGTGCTCAGAGAGGCTACTGAAGGGAGAACTGGAGGGGCTCGAGCTGGGGGTGGCCAGTACCCATGCAGGTCCATGCGTTTTGGGGCTTAGGGTTAAAGTGTTTTTAGTGGGGTTAATTGTGGGGGTAGGGTTAGGATTCGAGAAAAGAGTCTTCAAAATGAGTACTTTTCGGAATTACTCGGCACTGTCTCTCGGATCCGAGCAACTGAACACGACTGCGTTGCGAGCCAGCACAACATCGGGACAAACTCGCCAGCCAGCAGCACGAAAACTACAGGGGCCGGCATCCAATTCACCAGCTGATCCGACAGGACACCCAAAGGAAATGAAGGGCAATGAAGGGAAATGACGAGACTTCAATGCTAGATTTCTGCTCCCACAGGTTGGGCAAGCGATGAGGGGTGGTCGTCAAGAACTGATTCCGACCCTGCCACAATACAAGGGGCCTGCATCCTGGGAGTAGATTCTAAGAAGCTTTCGTTGAGCTTTCATGGCACATAAGGGAGTTGATTTTCAGATTTGGGCTTTAGGGCTTACAGAGTTGAATCCCGAGGCGTCTCGGCCCAGGGGTTGGGGAGGGTGCCGCTTTCTGCGCCAGACTTTAAGAAGCTTTCGCTGAGCTGTAATGGTACATAAGGGAGTGGAGTTCCAAGACGTGGGCTTTAGGGCATATTGCGTTGAATCCCGCTGTGCCTGACACAGTCAACTCGGTCGTGTCCTCAAGGCTGGGACAGCGACCCAAGATCGAGAGCAGCGCGGCGGCGCCCTGGCCGCTTTCTGCGAAGCACCTGGGCTGGCCACCGCAACTACCCATCCCCCCTAAACCCTAAACCCAAAACCCTGATACCCCCCCCCCCCATATGTAGAAAGTGGCCCTGAAGCTCCCTCACTGGTTATTACACTTGCCCACCTTCTTCGATCATAGTTCTGTGGTATCTTTACAATCTGCACACTTAATTCACGCATGGTAGTAATATTACTGCACAAAAGCACTTTTTATAATACTGTTATACTGTTACGTTGCTCTCTTTGAACTCTCTTCTCATTATGCCGGGCCGTCTTTTACGAATATAAAGACAAACAGTGAATGAGGTGAACACATTAAATTATAAATGAGCACAGTGATTGCATAAATTGAATGCGTGAATGTAGTGAACGGCCCTAACACACTAGTATTACGGGCTAGTGCTGGAGGGTGCATTGATCGCCATGAAGCCTTTCCAATGATCTTTTCCTGTTAAACGTTTTAACTGCGGAAATAGCGGCACAAAAGCCGGTCAACCTGGGATGCGATTCCCAGGGTGTGAACGCTTAGACCAATGCCTTTGTAAGTGTCTTATTGCCAAATTACAAACTAAAGGAGCATAACACTATCAACCATCAGAAGAAATGATACATTGAGCTAAAACAGACCCGAGATGAACATAGACAGTAGGAGGAAGAAGCTTATGATCTGAGATTACCCTTTCAAACGAATATTCTGTAAAAAAGTTCATATGGATGCTCCACACAAACCTAGCCACAAACTTCTTCACAAATTAGAGCAGAAGCTCACCTCAAGAGCGAAGAACCGACCAACGAAGAAGGCAAGACCAAAATTGATAACAAAGAAGGAGGGCAAGTGCCAGAACCCCCCCCAAATCCCCTCCATCATCTACGTCTACGATCTCCAGACCAGCTCTTCTCTAAGCACCCTTCCGAGGCGCTTCACAAAGCTCGCCTTGGTGAGCTTCTCCCACTCGGTGCCAGGGCCGAGCACCTGCCACTCTTCAGCCGTGAGCTGAAGCTCGTCGAGGCTCAACGACTCGAGCTTCGCGCGCACCAGGAGGTCCGCGAAGAGCTGCGGGCCCAGCTTCGCATGAGCACCTCTCCCAAGTCTCACATTGACGCCGGAGTTCAGGATCGATTGCACTCCGTGCTCTTCTAGGCCCTGCACCTCAAGCCAAGAGACGTATCTATGGCATGTTGCATCCATCCCATTGCCGCAATTACAACCTCAAATCTCCGATAGTCTGCATCCGGGTCACGGCCGCTTCGGTGTCCAAGCCGAGCGGGTGCTTGCCCTGCAAGGCCGTCAAGACCGCCTTCGGCACCTTCGGGGCTTCCGACGAAAATAGTACGAGCAGCAAACGCCTGCGGGAGGGTGGCTTTCGAAGAGAGGCCCCGGGGCCTGGCCGTCCGCGCCAAAGCTGGCCTTCAGCGTGGAGTAGGTGATAGGCTGGCCACCTGCCAGAAGTCGCAAGACAAGCCGAAGCAGACCACGCCAAGAACACTTCAAGAGCACCCAAAAGGTGATGGCAGCTGGTGCACCTCGTGGGGAGCATCCCCCCGCACGGGCACGGGACCGAGACGAGAGCGTCATGCTCTTGCAACGCCGCGAAACGTAAATCTCCAAAGCACGGAGCCACGCGAAGCCAATCCATGCTAGAGCCCAATAGGGTTTTTTAATGCTTTTGATAGTGTGTGCAACGCTCATGTCGCTTATACATATCATATGCGAGAGCACCACGGGCACGCAGAAAACACCAAGAGGGTCATCGCTCGCGCCCTTTCAATGCGCACGGTGCCGAGGCATGGCAAGGGGAGAGTGACAGGAACCCGCACACTGTTTGGGTTAATTCAAGCTTGCGCTGCGCCAAAAAGGGGGCCTGCTGCCAGGGCCACGAAGCGAGGGTCCCGATCCCGGCCGCACCAACGGTGCAGGCCGCCTTTTGCTTCTTCTCCCAAGTGGCTCAGCAAGGCGAGCAGCAGCCAGCTGGCCAAGCTCACGGCCTCTTTGAGTGCAGGAACGCGGTGTCTTCGCACGCATTATCGGTCACTATCGCGCGTCTCAGGGCGTGCCCAAGCCCGGCACCAGCCATGCGAGCAGCAACACATCGGGCAGCACCTGCAGGCTGCAAGCTGAGCTGGCTTGGCGGCTTTTTTTCAATCGCCATGCAAGAGACAAAGAGTGAGAGGAAAAGATAGGGAGGGGAGAGCTGTGTGGGAGAGCGACCCTGCTGACCTTGCAGGCTTCTGGAGCTGAGCTGATGCGCAAGAACAGCTGTGCCCCGGCAGCCGCGCCCACGAGCAGGACGTGAAGCACCAAGGAGCGCCTCGCAGATGCGTGCAGCACTTGCACCTGTGCTCTCACCCGCCTCCTCCGTGCATGAGAACTTCAGGCCGGGGCCTGAGGGGCAGGAGCGAGCTGGGCTCCAGGACCTGCCCCGGGTGCGCCACCACCGAGGCCTGAGCAGCGGAGCTTCCAGCAGCACCCCGGCAAGGGGGCTTGCAGCAAGAAACGCATTTTCATTGTTTTCATTGCCACCAAGCAAAAAAACCCGCGGGCTGCGATCGAGGGGCGGCCACGTCCGCAGCGGAGGCGTCCGGAAAGAGCAGCTTGGAGGCCAGAAGATGTAGCCCCACAAGCCCAAGGCCGCCGAAGCGGAGGAGGGGAAAGCCCCGCACCGAGATCTGGAAGATGTTGAGCGCCAGGATGCGGCTTAGCACTTCCAAGGATCTTGCTGAGACGAGCGCTGCCAGGGTCACTCCCCAGTCCACTTTGCCCGGCAGGCCCAGCACTGCGGCGTCGATCTTGTCCCGGGTCCCAAATCCGAGCCCAAGGCTCAGACAGGATACCGCCACGGACAGCACGAGGCTGACGACCTGGCTTTCTGACAGCTCTAACTCTTCGATCTGGGCGATGCCGCCCACTGCCGAGAGCAAGAAGTTGGCTTGCACCAAGGCGGAGATGGCGGACTCGGCCACCTGACACAGACATGCTATGACGATGGCACTGCTACTGGCTTCTGGTGCCCGCCGGGCCACAAGGGCACAGAAAATCCCCCAAAGCTACAGGCCTCGGCAGCCTTGGCTCCAGCTAGCAGCGGGTGTTTCCTGGGCACGGGATACTTGCGAAAAAAATGACTGCGACTGCTGCGTCACTACACAGATGCCCAGCCGTGATGCTGCCTTGCGTGGGCGGAGATCCCGACCAAGAAGAGGGGCAGCGTCTGGCTCAATATCGCCAGCAGCATCAGAATAAACAGCAGCTGGGGGTGCAGGCGCGACTGTAGATGGTCGCGGTACATGGATGGGTGGCTTAGAAAATGCCACACCTCAATTGCGGTGAAGATGGGCGGCAGCGACATGCCCGATAGGTTAAGGCATAAGTAGCCATACAGGCCACTCTGCTCGAACAGGAGGAGCTGCTTGACGTCGAGGATCACGTCGATGTAGAACAGAGCCTGGGCATCCCGTCAATCGGAACTGTGCCCCATGCTTGCGGCATGCGAAATATTGCTTGGCCGAAGACCTATAACATTCCCGACTCAGGCGCGCAAGTTAAGACCAGGAGGTCCACCCAGAACATGAAGGAGCCGCCTGTGACCGTCGTCACGCTGCATGCGCTGCATGCGGAAGCGGATGCATTGTAGGTGCCATATATGCAGCCCACGACGTGCTCGACGCTTCCCCGCAGGCACCTCAGGCCCACCACCTCTCGACAGGGAGCGCTTGCCTATGACTTACACCGCTACACGCACAATTGACAATGCGCCCGACCGGAGCTCTCTGGACCTCGGCGAGGCTGGCGACGCCCAGCTCACCTCCACCTTCTTTTTCGAGCGAAGCCAAGGAAGGCGGAAGCCACCGCTGTCTGCCAGCAAATTCTACGGAGCGTGATTTCAGTAAGCGTCTCGACAGCGGCTCCAGGTGCAGCACGCCGCCGGTGTCCAGGAGCACATGCGGGTTGTGGAACCTCGAGATGCCGGTCTCGGGGTCCACAGCCTCATGCCGCTCGCGTGCAGCCGCACGCATTATAGATATCATTATAACAGCATCGCTGCACGACTCTGCGCTTGGCGTGGATGGACCCTGCATGCAACTCCTCCTGAGCTCCCGACCTCCCAGAATTTGAAGCCCAGCACTCTTGTTCGCTCCGCGGTTCCGTCCGGAAGGGTGATGCTTTCTGGGAGTGTGATTGTGGTCTGCACCGTCTGAAGCTCTCCGTCTTCCTCCGCTCCGTGCTTCTCCGGGTCCGGGACCAGCCGCAGGGACTGCGACGCCTGGCCGAGCTTCAGCTCCAGGTGCGTCAGGTGCATGAAGCGGGGGCGCACGTCGTCGCCCAGCTGGATTCCGCCATCCACCACATGAAGCTCCGCTGGGCAGACGAGCGTTGCGACGATGCGCCTTCCGCAACAAGCAGCAGCGCACGCTTCTCAGAATCCTTTTTTTTTTGCAGAGGGAAACCCGGCCCCAACCCTCACATCCCCTCCCCCTTTATCATGGCCTGGCTTCGCTCGGCGGCAGCAAAGCAAAGCGGTGGTCGTCCCTGGCTCGGCTCAACGTCCGGCTCATGTCTCGGCTTCCTCGGCTCATGGCTCTCGCTGGAAAGGGCACGGGCACGGGCCGCAACTCGTTGGCTTGCTTTGAGCCTTCGAGCCTCAAGCGGCTCAGACACAAGTGGCATGGGTTCACATGGTGAGGGTAAAACTCACCGCCGTCCCCTCTCAAACAGGTGTCGCATACCTGTCGGAAAGTCCAAGCTGCTCCTGAAGCGCTACTGGCAGGCCTGGCTGAATCTTGTGGCCAGGACAAGGCTTCCAACCTCGGACAACGGCTGCTCATGGCGGCTCTGTCTCTGAGAGGGCCTGACCCGTGACTTTTTGCTCGGACTGACCAGGCGAGGCAGCACCGTCCACAGTCGGACTAGATAGGTAATAACGACAACTCTTCGAAGCACTGCATCTAGGACAATTCTTTATAGGCTGTTTTCGGATTCCTGGGAAAACAACCCTCAACGCAGGAAGCCTTCAAGGAACCACCAGATCCCTAAGCCTGAACGTGAAAGCTCATACCCTGAGCCTGCAAGAATGCTACAAGCGCTCCTAACACCAAAGCTGATGTTTGAGGCCCCATCCAGCTTCACTGGGCAAAGCGCGGGGAGCCAAATCGCCTGGTTTGCAGGCACTGTCGAGTCATGGGAGGATGGGAAGCCCCAACGCCATGAACATCTGGAAAAATCAAGCGGAGGGGTTTGAGGGGCTAGGGATCCAAGCGCGGGAGCTTGAGTTTGTCTTGCTTGTTGGCTTGGGGCTGGGGTATCGTCTTGCAAGCACACACTAGTTTCAGGCTCGCGCATCCAATCCTGCAAAGAATACCGTTTTTTCAAGGCCAGGCCAAGGATCGTCGGTGGTTCATGATTCGCTAAGTCTACTGCCCCTACGCCGCAACCTCCTCCGCATAATCTGCAGCACGGCTGCAGAGATTCCATCGCCATCCTCTGCGTTGACGTCCGCCTCGTGGGCCAACAGAAGTTGGGTCGCCTCTTCTGTCCCGGAGTTGATGCAGGCGTAAAGGGGCGCATCACCGTAGTCATCAGGTGTGTTGACATCTGCCCTTGCCTTGGTAGCCCAGTACCCAGACTAAAATAAGGGGTACCCCTTTTTCGGAGTTGGTTGCCCTGGACCCTAAACCCTAAACCCTAAACCCTAAACCCTAAACCCTACACCCTAAACCCTAAACCCTAAACCCTATGATGAAAGGTGTGGAATGAGATGCACCTGTGGCTTTGGCTTTGTGGTTCCAGGACATGCCGTAGGCATCGGAACACAAGCAGTTGCAGCACAAGACATGCAGGCAACAGGTCGCATGTTGTTGTGTGTTGGCGTTCCGTGGTGGTCGTGTGGTCGCCTTCTGTGGTAGAGGTAGGACCGCCTGACTGGCCGATGGACTTCGGTGCTGCAGTGTGAGGAAAAGTGAGCCTCTGGTGGTGCAGCTGTGTTCGTACAAGGAGTACAAGCCGAGCCACAGACAAGCCAAGCTGCTATGTCGTTTGCTGGACCTCAAGAGCCCCGTGCTCTTGAGGTTATGAGCCCAAGCGGCCTGGGCGCAACCGCTGGATTATTGAGTTCCCCTACGCTGGTTGGTGAGACAGCTGGGCCGAACTATGGATCTTTGACAGTTGGTACAGATGGTGCTGGTGCAATTGGGACTGGTGCAGTTGTTGTGGGACCGGTTCAGGGTGGAGACCTGAGTACACCTGCTGTTGCCGATGGGCAGACAAATAGTGGTGTGCTGGGCGGTGGAGACCCTGGTGTTACTGGTGGCCTGGAGATGGACCAGGTCAATGACAACTGGCCAGTGGTGGAGCAACCTAGGGTTTTGGAGTCCAGCAATGGTGGCTTGGAGACTGCAGTGGCAGCCGAAGGATTTGGTGCAGTGCAGATGGTGCAGACCGCCATGGAAGGCACTGCGAATGCTGGTTCGCCGACAGCTGCGTCGCGTACAACTGGACTGGAGATGAGGTATGTCCAGACTGGAACGGGCGCATATGGATGGATGACAAGGCTGACAGACTTTCTGCGAGCGACGACGACTGGTGGCGGTGGTTTAGGGGATAGGATGTTAGGGTCCTTAGGACTAACACCCAATCAGGCCCCGGGAACGCCCCGCAGCCACAGCAGCAGAGCAGCAGCCGTAGCAGCAACACCTCAGTCGGCAGCCAGGCAATCGCCTTGGAACTTCTCCCCGCCGGAAGAGCTACAGGTGATGACCCAGCACGTGGAAGGTGGGGGTCACTCCGCGTTGTTTGACCAGAGGGCGGTGGAGAGAATGAACAGTTGGCCTTCTCGTGGACCTCTACTTCATGGAGAGCAAGCGTCGCAAGGGTCTACGGGGTCTTCAGAAATTCGGGTTGAAGTGCAACGTCAGCTGGGACAGTACATGAGAGATCGCAGAGACCAGGTGCAGACCGAGGTGGTGGCTTTGCGAGACAGGTACAAGAGCTGATGAATGCTGGTTTTGGGAGACAGTCTGGGGGCGAGGCCTAGCAGGGAGTTGGTCGAGTTCCAGGAGGTCCTCAGGTGCCAGGGGATGATCCACTTCACGGAGTACCTCAGGGAGGAGGTAGCTCACTTCACGGGGACATCTCGAGCACAAGGTGGTCTTCCGGGAGCTGGCGTTCCTCAAGTTCCTCAAGGTCCTCAGCTACATGGAGTTTCGGGAGGTCCTCAGGGTCCTCAGCTACTTGGTGGTTCGGGAGGTCCACATGGTCCTCAGCTACCAGGCGTTTCGGGAGGTCCACAAGGTCCTCAGCTTCTTGGTGGTTTGGGAGGTCCTCCTCAGCTACCTGGTGTTTCGGGAGGTCTACAAGGTCCTCAGCTACCTGGCGTTTCGGGAGGTCCACGTGGTCCACATGGTCCTCAGCTACCTGGCGTTCCTCAAATTCCACAAGGTTTTCAGCTACCTGGAGGGCACCAGCAGATTGGAAGTGGTGGTGTGTCGGGAGTTGGCCAAGTTCCTGGAGCTCCTCAAGCACCTGGAGGTCCTCAAGCGTATGGAGGTGGACCGCAAAGTGCAGGGAGTTGCCGAGGAGTGCAACTCGTGGCCCGAACCAGTCGGCTGGTTCTGGGGCTGGAAATGTGGGCGGTTCCTCGTTTGGTGGAGGGATCGGAGATCAGCCGGGACTGGTTGGAATGCTGGCCGCAGGTATCCAGCAGCTCCAGCAGGCGCAGCTGAACATGATGAACCAGAAGGTGGGTCAGCCGGAGCAGGTGAAGCCTGGGATTGCAGCTTTGCCGGCATTGGATCCTCCTGGCGCTGAGGATAGCCCGGTCGTCATTCAAGACTGGATGGAGCTGATTGACGGGCCGATGCGAGACCTCAGTGATGGAAGTGGTGCTTGGTGGGAGGCCGTCAAGAGCGAGGTCTCGCTGCACTACGCGAAGTGGGTGGCAAGTACGCCCTACCAGAGGTTGGCTATGCAAGGGCCCTCTGGAATGGATTTGGACGACGGGCGGTACGCTCGTGTCAATGCCCGAGCTGCTGGAATGTTGCTGGCAGCGTTGGCACCGGAAGTCCGGAGGGACTTGGTGGCGAGGCAGTGTACTCGCAGTGCGGTGAAGATCGTCTACCGGCTGTATGTTCAGTACTGCCCCGGGGGCGAGTCCGAGAAGCTGCACCTCCTGAAGTCGTTGAGGCTTGCGTCAGTGGGAGAGATGGATGCAGCGAGCTCAAGGTATCGCTGTCACTTGCCCAGATCCGATGATCTTGGCTAGAGGGCTGTCGGTGATCGTGGCGGGCGTGCTGCAGAAGAATGCAGACGCTGCATTCAGGACATCCCTGGTCAAGAACGCTTTGATGGTCGACACGTCGCCTACGTTGGCCACTGTCACGCAGTACCAGCAGCATCTCAAGGGAGATGGAGACGCTGGCGGGTGTGATGGTGATGGGAAGCAGTCGTGGTGCAGAGCCCAAGGCCAAGCCTATGCAGGTTGAGGATGGGGCTACAGACCGCGACAAGGACAAGGATCGGGACAAGGGCAAGGGCAAGGACAGAGAGCGAGACAAAGGAAAGGGCAAAGGAAAAGAAGCCTTTGGAAAAGGAAAGGATGGCGAGCAGAAGATCTGTCCGTGGTTCGCCAAAAGTTCTGAAGGATGTCGCCGAGGGAAAACGTGTCGCGACAAGCACTCCTTCGAAGGGATCTCCAAGCGTGGGCGTTGCCTTGAATGTGGAGGTGAAGGACACATAGCGGCGGATTGTCCGACGAAGGCCTTGGCGTCGAGACCTTCGAGCTCTACAGGTGGAAAGGGCGGTGGTGGAGGCCACAGCCAACCGAGCCGGGCGAAGGAGGAGCCTGCAGCCAGAAGCATGGTGTCGGAACCTGAGCCACAGCCGACATCACCGGTGTCCACGACAACCTCAGCGTCGAGTCCCAACCCTGAGCTCCAGTCTGCGATGACTGATGCAGCGCAAGCTCTGAGGTCTTTGGTGGGAGAAGGAGCTGGAGGAGGACATCCAGGATTGGCATCGATCCAGAGGCAGCTGGATGAGCTTCGGTTGAGAGCCTTGAGGGTTGAAGACGTGGTGGTGCGACCTCGTGGAGGAGATCCTCGGATGTTTAAGGCAGAATTGGATGTGCCAACGGTGCTCATAGACTCTGGGGCTACGAACATTCTTCGTCAACCTCGAGATCCTCATGAGCTTCAGGATGCAAACCAGGTGAGTGTGGTGCTGGCCAACAACGAGAGGACTCAGCTCTACCAGACGCCAGCGGGATCTATACTCACACCGTCTACAACGACTCAGCCTTTGTTGCCCATGGGAGATCTCGTTCGTGCGGGTTGCGAGATATCTTGGGGACGAAAGGGCATGAAGATTGTGCACCCAACGCTTGGGGTGCTGCGAACCAGCGTGAAGGCTGGATGTCCGGAGCTCACCATGGCAGAAGCCGACAAGATCATCGAGCAGGTGGAGAACGCCAAGCTTCAAGAGTTTCGGGATGAGGTGCAAACCTTGCAGATGAAGCTGGAGGCCCTGAAGGTGGGCGCTAACACTGCACCGTGGACTACGCATCTCGACGACTATGTGGCTTCAGGATCGAGAAATGCTCTCTGGAAGGCGTTGATGGGGCTTGTGTTTGGGGAGCTACCTGAGGCTTTGAGGACCAGGCTGTGTGTGGAGTTGAACCTGGCAAAGGGTTGGGACTACCTGAAGGCCCTTCCACTTCCCCGACGAGTCAAGAAGTCCTTCTTGCAGGCGCCCGAGTGGATCCTGCACCTTCCTGCCCATGAGAACGAGGATGGCTTCCTGAAGGTCTTGGAGCAGAAGGAGGGACGTATGGTGTTGAAGGTGGCTGGTAACATTGAGCAGGATGTCTACCAGGCCTTGCTATGGGCTGCGGTCGAGGGCAAGCTGAAATGCATTGTGGCCGGTGGGGCACATGGGCCTGCTCAGGATGAGGCCGTCTTCGTGAAGTCTGCCCAGGTGAAGTTGCTGTACTGCTTGGCGAGGCTAGCGTCCAAGCACCCTGAAGAGAAGACTGGCTTTGTGTGGTCTGGACCAGAGCGAAACCTGAATGGGGCGAGTACAGTTATGGGCGAGACAGCATCACCATCTTGCTGCTCCACTTCTACCAACTCGCCAGACACTGCACGGGCCATACGCGTATCCCACCCGAGTTTGTTTGTCCTGAACATCGATATAGCTGGCCCCTTCCGCACCTTGGGGGTAAACCCACATGGAAGGGGGCGTCAGGAGCGAAACCGCAATCTTCGCTACATGCTGGTCGCGAAGTACACTTTGCCGGAGTCCTACATCACCAACGAGCTGGAGGAGACTGCGGATGACCCTGAGGTGGAGGTGCCTGAGGGTGAAGCAGATCCGTTTGCCGAAGACGAAGGAGGTGGTGTTGGTTTGGTCGAAGAGGAGGGGATCGACTGGGATGACTACGAGCCGGATCTACTTGATGATGGTCCTGTACCTGATCCAGAGCAGGCTGAAGACCCTGATAAGGAGATAGTGGTTGGGACCAGGCCAAGAGAAATTCCGGAGGATGTGAAGGCGCCGAAGGCAGCCAATCTCTTGTTTGCACATGGACTGGCCGACATCAAGGGAAGCACT